CAGGTGCCAGACTGCCTGCTTTAGAGCTGAGCTGAAGCCTAGTGTTTGTCTGCAACGGCTCTCTTAGATTCTCTCCACAGTAAGCACTACAATAACGCAGAATTGAGAGAGGAGTCTGGTCAACCTCTCACAGGTAATGAATTATGCGAGAAAAATGTGGAGCTATTGCTGGAGACTCATTTACAACCCACAGCACCTGCTGTAGGACTACCACTAGCACTAGCAAAATTGTCAAAATGTAATATATTTCCGATGTTAGCACACAGCAGGATATTTTTAAAGTGTTACACCTTTCAGTCTTGGACAGTCTTAACATTAGCAACTTTTCCATGAGAGACACCAAATATTGGATAAAAAGGTAAATACATTCCCTAATAGTAATTTGAAATTGACAGATCATCATGACTCTTACCTTGCAGTTGTTTAAACCTCCCTTCCAGGATGTTGGAATATTGCACCTGATTTACAAATGCTGCTGCGGACAAGCAGGGCTCTCTGTCCCTGCGTTCATACTCCATGGCCTTTTTCTGAATCTCTCTCCTAAGTATTCCTCTCAGATACAGAGTGAATGGGAGTTCTCCTGCATAGCACAGCAAAAGCGACCTTTCCCACTCCAAAAAATATAAACTCCTTAAGAGGGTTTTCCAGAAAATAAAAGTTTTGTATATCCAAAATGCCTTGGTTTGTCCTCCTGTTTCTGATTCCCTCAATGCTGTGCCTCAAGCACAACTCAAGCTTGAAAATGTTGCCGCCTGTTCTTCTCTTCTTTTACTGTAGGTCCCACCTTGTCCAATGAAAATACAGCAGTGTAACGGTGGAGGGGTTTTTCTAAAGAATCATTTAAAACAAAATGTTCTCTTGTTTCACCTCCTCCTGTGAAGAATTTCAACACACTTGTGGCCTCTAAGCAAAGTAAAAACGTCTGGTTACACTCCCTTGTGGTTCAAGGCTGACTATCCCTTCCCTCCAAACTCTGAACATGCATTTGCTGGAGCAGAGCGCAGCAGAGCAGGCTAACCGGCCGCGGTCGGATAGCTGTGTAAACAAAGCCTGCTGTGCTGTCTGAAAACTGTGTCATTTGCACAAGGTGTGTTTGAGGGAGGAGCACAGAGGAGGAACACAGTGCTGAAGTGGAGAGGGAGGCGGTGTGGAGGTGGACTAAACCATTAGAAGTCTTTGCCCAGTGTAGCTTGAGGCGGATTATGTAACGCCACCTTAATTCCAGAGAGCAGCGGGGTGTGGCCTGCCAAGAAGGTACATCACGAAAGGATCCATCCTCTTATCCTGCTGTCTTGCTATGTGGTTCTCATTTCTATCACTCTCTGACATAAGATTTAATTTGCCTTGTTCTGTTTGCGGGCTCTGCCTGTGATAAGGCGTTAAGACAGGAAGGAAGTTGTTCAGAATATCTCAGCAACACGACAAGCTCCTTCCTGCCTGAACAAGATTTGAAATGATGAACTTGTGTGTCTGTTTGTCAACCAGATGGTTAGGCAGGAGTGGGGGTGGAAGTGAGTCATAAGTCCTGTCTAAAACAATTATAAAACTATAATCAACACATTTGATGTCAAACTAGATTATGGATAACTAACTATTCAAATTAGTAATGGCTTAACTTGGAAGGAATTTTTTTTTCTTATTTAATTTGATTTCCCACTGTCAACTTAAGTGTGTCTTGCATGCAAACACTGGAAGAAAATACACTTTTATATATTTTTGTGGCTGTGCTCCACTCCGCAGGAAATCTGGATCAGGAAATTATTTAAAATCTGTGCAATACACACCAAAAATGATGTCAGAAACTATGCATTAAAAGAGACTTCTAAATATATTTTGAAAGTTGAATAGCTATCCAGTTGAAGGTTTACTCTTCGTTGCTGCTGCTAACGGCCTAAAAAGCGCCACAATAAAAGTTACAAATGCAATAATTGCCTGTGTGTGAAAAAATTACACAACACTGTAAACACTGTGAGGGCTAAGGTCACCACTTTTTTTGCAAAAGTTGGCTTTTGGTCTGGTCAGGGGTAAAAATGTGTGTTTTTTTATTATCTGTGCTTGTCCTGATGAGCCGGCAGCATCTGGATGGATCTCATTAAAGGACCAAATGCCCCCGGCCTTCTGCGCCTGGGTGTTTATGGAGGGGGGACTGGACTAATGAGATCCAAAGCGAAAACACTTCCTTCTGGGGATCACAAGCAGTGGTCGCATGCAGTGAGAAATGAGAAGCAGAGACATGGTAAACTGGAAATGGCCGTTTAGGATCCCATTGGGCATATTTCAAACACACAATCCCAATTACCACGAGACGCAGATGTGATGGCAGGTTTGCGTGTCTGGCAAAAGCATCTGAAAATATTATGTTCAGACCTATCTATACAACTCATCAGTCATGTGGATAAACTATTAAATAAACACTCTGGATAATATTAATAGTTATTTTCTTAATCTTGTAAAATATGACAACAAACATTGAGAACGTCTGCCAAATGGAGATGTGGGAGCAGCTCATGCATTGAGCAAACTGGATTTAATGATAATTAATGATGTTCTGGTGTGGTGAATGAACGCAGATGAGGAACAGGGAAGGATAGAAGCTGCAGGGGAGTCGGCAGAGATCTATTGCTGAGCATGTACATTTTATCCATCCAACAGCTTAACCCCTGGAGGGACACGGGGGAGGGGGGAAGGTTGGACCATACTCAACTAAATATCTGATCTGAAGGGGGATCCCCCTGGAGCTAGAAGGCTTGATTTCTTAGGATGAAGTCCTACAAAATGTATAAAAAATGTGGCCCAATGTGAGACAGTGAATAGAAGTGTTCATCTATTATTCATGCTTCTGTGTAGTTTTTCTTCATTATGTATGCATCGTATATAAGCATAGTCTGTGTATTAGAACTGGTTGGATTCCAGATTCATGATAATGATGTGGATATGTAATGAAGAATAGTGTTGCAAAAGGAACATGGATGCTTTCAAAGTACTCTTGCTCTGCTAACTGTGTAAGCTTTCACAAGTAAGTACAAGCTAGGCGTTGCTTAACAAAATGCAAATGTTCACCGCTTGCTCTGCTACCACACACAGTATAGGAGAGTAGATAGGTGGTTATTTATGCAAATTACAATTATCTTTAAACACAGGAGAAGCTTTCTACTGTGAAACGAGCTTCAGCTGCTGCTGTCACACCAGGAGTCAAATTAATCTAACAGACTGTCATTTCACAGAGGGAATATTTGTGAGATTCTGTGAGAGATTGAAGCACAAGTAGGCAGCAGCTTACAGACTGCTGAAGGGCTTGACATTTGTGAGAAGTTGTTTAAGGTAGGCAGGAGTTATGCCCGGGGGACAAAGCTGCTGCGGCATGTCAGAGAATGTGCACTTCAAGTCCACACTTGTCAAACGGAGATGTATCACAGGTATTCGCGCGCGCGCGTGCGCACACACACACACACACACACACACACACACACACACACACACACACACACACACACACACACACACACACACACACACACACACACACACACACACACACACACAGTCTACTCTGGTCACACTGGTACAATCAGTATTAGAGCCGTCTGTTGCTTTCCATAATTATATGGTAGCAAGATACAGTAAATCATTAAATACAGTACAAAAAACCAACCAGGCAACACTCAAGTGTGTTACCTGTTGGCATGAGGGAATCAGTGAGGTCGTATTTGTAAGTAAAGTTAGATAAACCTAACTTTTCTTACAGCCAAACTCCAAAACTAACAGAGGATGTGGTTTTTCGGGGTGTGTATGTGTTTGTGCGCGTGTGCGAGTGTGCGTGTGTGTGTGTGTGTGTGTGTGTGTGTGTGTGTGTGTGTGTGTGTGTGTGTGTGTGTGTGTGTCTGCCTGTTGCTCCCCTCTGCTGGGGTCTGTATGATACTGCAACTTGTTTTGACTATTAATAGAGATTGTATCTGTAACATGTGAAACTAGGAAGGTGAACTGTGGTTAGATACACACAAATGCAGACTCATGGAGCCATCAGGAGTTTCATCTGGGTCAAACCAGTGGGAGCCTCCAATAGGATAGGCTGCACGAGATAACAGACTAAAATATGGAACATTGTAGATCTTGCATTTATCTTTAATTGTGGATTTTAAAGAGACCTATTATAGCCCTAAAGTCTATTCTCATCACCTTATTCCCTCACAGCGTATTGCTCTGTGGTGAATTGACTATCCAGCTGCTTGGCTTTGTCCTCCTTTTGGAACTATTTCTGTCTTGCCCTACAAAGACATAATTGTGCCTTTTGGGACAGAGAATAATAGAGTTGGGTCCTCAGTCTACAAAGCCTTATTAGATCTGTGCACATAACAGTTAGTTTGTAATTATTGCAAATGTTATATTTTTTCTTAAGCCCTTGTTGCATATTTGAAAGTTTAACTTTAAAAAAGCATACTGGCCTAAATATAAAACATTGTACAATTTAAAAGATTTCTAAAAATAAGGGTCTATCCTTCAAGTCATCATCCTATAACGTAGAATTATGATGATTCATTTGTATGGTCTAATAGTAATATTCATTTGTTAAAAAATAATCACTGCATTTTGTTTAAATGTTTCTTTGCATTTGATATTGTACTTGCCTTTTGGTGGTAGCATTTGAAATGTCATTACAACATTCACATCATTCTGATTGGCTCATTAAGATTTAATAGAGCATGCAATGCAATTTGTCCATCAGTCATAGTTCGATAATACATTTCATTTGCTACTTTAATTTTTCAGCTCATGGCAACTTTGCAGGAGAGACTGTTATTCATAACTCAAATGATGAAATAAAATCAATTTTCAAACATAATTTGATAAGGATAACTTCTGTCATTTATGTCGTACAATGTTCACAACTGTGACAAATGCCCCAAAACAGAACTTGTCAATCATCCTCACACACCTACACACAGAGGTGCATGTTGACACCTTGCAACGTCTACGTTAGTCGGGCCTGAAGTGTAGCATACCTGCGAGAGCCTTGATGCGTGAGCGCTCGAAGAGTCGTGCTGAACTGTTCTCATTATCCCAGTCAGTCTCTGCTGCCAGGTCCCAGCGGTTGTTGATGTCATTGTACTGCTGCTGGATCTCCAAGCTGTCAAAATCCGTCGGCGAGATGGTGCTCATGGTGTCCAGGCTGGAGGAAAACACATTCAACCTACAATTCAGACACAGAGACACAAACGCATCCAAGGTCAGTGCATACAGAGATGAGTGGACATTGTGTGAGATGAGAAGTTTCTGAGAATCTATTTCTATTTCATCCAAGGATAGATGAAGCAATGAAACATATATCACCCACACTCTGCTCAAAGCTTCACAGCTGCACTCAAGTTGTATGTGCTCAAATGAGAGTCATATGCAAATAACAGCTTAGACACGGCAACTGCCAGTGTGTCTTTGAGATAAGTTCAGCAGCTGTCATGAAGTTTTTCAGTAAACCAACCAATAATTGAATATATCAGCTCCTGTAAGCTAAGGTAAAATCCCCAGACAATAGCTTGCCATAATATGGATATTATGCAAAGGTATCATCCAGCTGTGCTTTGGTTCACATGATGTACTGCTTGTGGCATAGATGTTCATCAATGTGCACGGCACATGTTGGATAAATAGTGTAGACTAGAGTATAATACTCTCAGATTCTTGCACTTTAATTTTCAGTCCTTGTCCTTGTACTCACTGCTAGCCATGCACGACCCTCCTATCCTGCTGTTTGTACTTACTCAGCATCAGGATTTAATAACAGGACCCTCATATGGCAACAATCGATATTTCCTAAACACGGAGGTCAGTCCCACCCCTTTTTCTCCTACGGCCTGAGTCTCTGTATTATGATGACATATACAATGCATCCCGTCCTTATTGTGTCCTCATAAAATGTCCTCAAAAGACACCCAATGGGTGGTCTACATTAAGATTAAACCCCCCATTAGTGACATCCATTAAATGTACTGGAGCCATTTGTTTAAGAGCATTGAGAGGGATTAATAGACTATGTTGCATAGTCTGTTTGCTAATACCTGTTAGTTTATCTTTTGTTGTGTCTAGTAGCTTTAGCTGACTTTTATGAGATGATGAGTGAGACAGAGGATGGTGGTAGAAACATCTGGTGTTTTGTGAGGACTGCTAACTAAAAATGCAGGCAAACTACAATTGTCACATTTTCATTATAAACTTTCTTCATCAAGAATGTCAGGTCTAGTTTATTTGTACCACTGATACGTTTCCTTGAGCACCTGATAAAGCGCTTGAAAATAAAAATGTATTATTATTGTTATTATTTTGGTCATTATTTTAGTCTAGTCTAGGTTGGATTATGTTGTACTACAGTCAGAGCCTGAAAGGAAGACAACAACAAACAAGGTACTCTAAGGTGCTGTTTACACGAGAACGCAAACGGTTGTATCCGCAACTTTTCTCTTTTGTATAGAGCGTTCGTTCACACGAGGCCGTAACGGAAACGCAGAAACGGACCCCGCCAGCGATAACGGGTCCCAAGGTGGATAGATCTGCAAACGGAATGCTCTGGGGGGCCAAAAGGGTCAGTGTGTACGCACTATACGATCATTTTCCTGATAACGATGAAGCCATAGCCACACCTCTCCCCAGCTCTGCTGCTCACTGCTGTAGCATGGTCAGTAGCTACTGACCATACTACAGATGTTAGTGCAAAATCTACAGCTCCTCTACCACAACCATCCACAACAAGTGGACATGGAGAATTACATGAACTACATGTTGCTAAATCCACCGCGGGGCATAAACAGAAGGGCAACCATGGCAACCATGCTCGGGGGTCTTCTTTGCTGTTTTTGGTGTATTTTGTGGCGCCACTTACAGGCCCGGCATATGTACTACAGTGTCTCCAGAGCTTTCGAGCGGTCTCGTGCAGATGTACAGCGCCACTTACAGGCCTGGCATATGTACTAGAGTGTTTCCAGCGCTTTCGAGCGGTCTCGTGTGAACGGAATACTTTTTTGATATCGTATTCGGTTCGTTTGCGTTTCGTATGCGTGTAAATGGGGTCTAAGTAGGCCAGCTCTTCAACACATTGCACATTAATTAGGCTCTGTATTCATTCTCTGTCCTCTTCCAGGAGGTGTGATTGAAAGACACGATAACAGCTAAGGACAGAGATTGATCTGGTTGAATGTAGGACTGTTACTAATGTGTCTGCTTGGACTATTCTTGGAACAATCATGTTGTGAAAGTCAATGCAACCACTAAATCAGACCTGGAAATCTATAACGGACAACTGCCAGAACCAATAGGCATCAGTACTGTACACTGCCAGTGTTGGGCCATATACGGTATAATGCCTTTCGTCATTAAATGTAAAAATGCATAATACAGTCAATCACGTAATTGAGCATAGTGTAGAACATGGTAATTTAGATACATTGGGCCAATTGGTTTAGTGCTCAGTATTTATTAACCAGTGATGCTGACATTTTGTGGATAACAAACACTGCTCAATCTGCAATACAGCTATGTGAAAATGAATTCACAGCCTACTACCCTAGACTTACATTTACAAACCATGGCATTATATTCCTCCAACATCACTGATGGCTTTAGTTTTTATAAACGTCAGACCATGTGTGCTACAGCCACATCCTAAAGTGGGATACACCTTGCTATTGTTAAGAGAAGTCAAACAAGTGACAAACATTCAAGCTATAAAAAATAAAACAAAAAGCTTGGCAAATCCTATTAGTGGCAGATTAAGAAGTGGCTGTGAATAGAAACTAAATGCAGGGATTAGAGGAGAAGGCAGAGCAACGCCTCCTCACCACCCCCCAACCGGTCTCCTCCCCACTTACAGGCACCCCCAGGACTCGGGTAATGTCTTGCCCCCCCGGAGTTGGCCTGTGTGTGTGTGTGTGTGACTGTGTGTGTGACTGTTTGTGTGACTGTGTGTGTGTGTGTGTGTGTGTGTGTGTGTGTGTGTGTGTGTGTGTGTGTGTGTGTGTGTGTGTGTGTGTGTGTGTGTGTGTGTGTGTGTGTGTGTGTGTGTGTGTGTGTGTGTGTGTGTGTGTGTGTGTGTGTGTGTGTGTGTGTGTGT